GAGACAATAGGGGCTAGGATCCTGAAACCTCTACTGGTCACCAATGGGAACATTGGCGGGATGTTTAAACCCACCAATGGGACCTGTGGGTGGTCCACAGATACTGTACATAGTTGGCCTCCGGCCGGTATTGTTATTGTTATGTTGTGTGCTAGTAAACATGAGCTGAATATCACTATGTTTCCTCATCATTCGATGCGTTAAACCCACTACACAACACAAAGTAAATTGCTCATTCTCTGTGATAAAAAGGACCGGAGTGGTCATTTTACCTCAAGTATGTTTCCTGGGACTAACAGTTCCTGTGACTAACAACAGTGCACATGAAAGCTTACATCTTGAATGAAACTGTGTTGATCTTAAATGTGCTACTGAACTCAGACTTTGTTCTAGGATCTCAGGTGCATCACTTACTGAGCCTACTCCGGTGGGGAGGGCGGGGTATAAATCAAATAAATAAATACTGCCTGATTCTTTTAACTGGAGAAGCCAGAGATTAAATCTGGCATTTTCTGCATCCAAAGATTGTATTCTACTGCTGAAGTACAGCCATTTCTCCAGTGTGTAAGTGCAGGGTAAATACACAGAACTTGGATGTGTGAGTTTGCTCCTCTGGTCTCACCCAGGCTTAAATACCTATATGAGGAAATGAAACAGTCCAGTTCTTATGCACCTAGCAGACATGTTCTTGATCTGACTAGCAATGTTTTGAATGTGGGTTGAAAAGTTTGCTCTTTTAGCTAGTAACTTAGGTGGTGGAGGATATAGGGATTTTGTATTTTTGATGAAGCTCCAAAGGTCTGTATTTTTTTTTAAAAAAAATTCTGTGAGTTAACTTTAGGAGCAAATTAATCTATGGAAACTGCTCGTTTTATGGTACAGAGCAAAGCTGTGTGCTTGTCACCAAAAACTGACTGAGGAAGCATATGGCAGGCAAAAGATATATATTTGTCCAAGAAATGCAGCTTGCTTGCATTCCCACACTCCTCATAAACTGTGTTTACATGCACAGTCAACATCTTGCACATTCGTTTTTGTATCAGAGGGGAAAAAATAAAAGACAAACTATGATTCTCTCAATATGTTTGTATCAGGTGGAGTTAATTGAAAATTCTTTCTAACTAGGGAATGAAGTATTTCAGTACAAAAATTTGTAATGATACACATTCTGCTTTTGCATAACATTACACAGATGTTCTTCCATGAAATACTGTATAGTTAACTTAGAGTTAATATGCATATTGGATGTGTTCACATGTAAGGGTTTTTTAGCTGGATAGTACCATGACCAATTAAACTACAAAGTTCTGGTTATGTGTGGCTTTCAGCCTTCCAAATTTACAAAAAAATGTAAGCATGGCATGAAAGTCACACCGTCGTTTTTCGTGGACACTGTCAGATGTGGTTGTGAGCTAGGTAAATTGATTATGCTGTATATAAAAATATGCTGATTCCACTCTTAGAAAAATTATGTAAACTATAAAAAAAATTAACACAAGGTTTGAAAATTTGCAGTATTCCTTTGCACTTTGAAAAAGCCAAAAAGTGTGGAGGAGAGTTTGAATGAAATGGTGATGGAAGCAGTTCTAGATATGGGAATAATTTCTAGTTTAGCTTGTTTATCAAGTCAATGGAAATCTCTCATATGTGCCCATGTGTTTCAGAGTGCCTCCAAATCAGAACCTGTAAAGAGAAGACTACATAACTGGATTTCCATCTCAGTTTTAAGTCTTCGCACTGTGGGTATGCAGTCAGATTTCAGGTTCCATTCAATGCAAGTTAGATGCAGTGAATCTCACTGAAATCAATACCACTGAAGGATTTGCCTGTGCAATCCAGTTCCACAGAGGACAGTAGGATTTAGGGTTTTGCATCAGGACTCAGCTGCAGAATCGGAAGAAGAAAGGAATAAGCACTTGTTCAAAATCCAAATATGTTTGATACTAAGTAATAAGTGATAAACACTGTTTTCAGCAGTAGATTAGTAGACTTTAAATATGGCCTAGTCTAAAGTTTTACCCCTTGGAGTAATACAAACTTCAAACACACAGGAACTCTTCATGAAACAATGTTTTGGGTTGTTTATTTACTACAAGATTATTTATCATGTAATTTCTAGTTGGCCATTAAACAGCAGTATACTTCCAAGTATATACAGATTTTTTTCCGCCATAAAGCTGAATCCTGATAAAATAAGACAGATAATGATAAATAAGCCTTTGAGTAAGCCTAGCTGGAAGGGGCAAAATATACTATTAATATCCCTCCTGCAAAGTTAAATCTTTTAGCAATTTCTTCATTAGCTAACGAGGTCTCACAAAAATGGGGTTTTTAAATGGTGTTCTTGCATCCTTGCCTCTAGAAATAGCTTAAAATATTCATAAGAAATGTTATCTGAAGGTGCATTAAGTTTCAGCAAAAAAATTCCTCAATTATATGTGATCATATACCCACAAGCAAAATGGGTAAAGCATCCAGATAGTCATCAGTATGTCTACAACCTACCAGCTATAGTGCAAAATGGGGAGGGACACTGGAGAATGTATGTGTGTTTTTTTAAAAAAAAAAAAGTTATACAGAAATAGCTGAATTTGACATAAGCTGAATTATCTTTGACAATGGGAGTGCTTGATCGCTTAAAGACTTGCTAATGGAATATGGAGCTTTCCATCTCCTAGTCAACATTAATAACCTGTGCAGATTAATAGTAACCAGTTTCTCTTGGTTATTGCTGTGCCTTGGCAAAAATTATTAGGGGAGGAAATGTCTGTCTCTTGAAAAATCCCTATTGCAGTTGGCATTGATAGCATATCTATTATAATCTCATCATAAAGGTCCTTGATTGGATGAACTAGAAAGATTAAACTCTCTTCCCAAAGCAGTCTCTCCAGCTAAACGCAAAGATATGGAAGAGGTACTTAAGTACTGATGATACCTTACAATTTAATAAGGTAAACTGGTCACCCTCATGCCTGTGTATACAAGATTCCAGACTTCAAGGCTATCAGCTTTTTCTTAATATTTCCATTCCCCCCCTCAACAACATATTTTTACTTGCCCTCAATAAGTTTCCGGTTTCTCTATGGCATTATGAGCATTTCTTTTCAGGGGAGAGATGGAATATAAGTGTGCCAAACAAATAAATATGCATTTAATCAGGTCTGAGTAGAGCTGTGATCACAAATAGTTAAGTTTCCAATTCAGAATCCCAGCACCTGGGCAGGACCAGAGAACAAACGCTGGTAATGCAAGGGATAAAATAAGGCTGCCAACTCTGGACTGGGAAATATCTGGAGATTTGGGGGGTGGCGCCTAGGAAGGGCAGGAGGGGAGGGACCTCTGTGCCATAGAGTCTACCTTCCAAAGCAGCCATTTTATCCAAGGGAACTGATCTCTGTAACATGGAGACCAGCTGTAATTTCAGGAGATCTCCAGACACCACTTGTAGACTGGCAACCATAGAATAAGACCTATCCAGATCTGATGAGTTAGTGAGAGCCTGGTAAACAGAAATGTTTACCTAAGTTACATGCTGTTGGATAATCAGACAAACTCTGTGTTGTCAAGTAGATCTGCAGTGGCATCTGACTACTGAAGTAATGCAGTACAATTGATTGCAAAAGACAGACACCTGTAGAATGAATGAAAACCTCCATAGGATGTAAGCCAATGAGACCAGCCACAGATTTCAGAATAAGCCAAAAGCCTAATATGCATATTGGTGGCATTCTACAAGAAAAGGCTGCCAGTTCACTGACAGGCCTTGTGCTACCTGCTAATCTCTTATTTATCAACCCCATTTTGTAGATGATGGAGAGACAAACAACTAGCTCCTTGGGGTTTTTTTAACTCTTAGTACCATTCACAAAGCTTTTCCTCATTTTTGTACCTAAGTCCCACAAACAGCAAATGCCATGTATACAAGCAGAGACCCAGAGACTCTTCCTACTGGCTGGCTGACATACTTTTGCCAGAAGGTGGGAGGCCTAATGGCACATCCTCAACTAAGTCAGTGTTGGGGCATTCTTTGGGCACCATTTTCACTATTCCCATCCTCACTGTCCACTGCCATATTATATTGCTGCCAGCAGCTGCCACTGGAATTGGGCTGAAAAATTATATAGGTGGCTACTACAGTTTCTGCAAAGTATGACAATGGGCACTACTGTGACTTTCTCCATTGTGTGCTCCCCTTCCCATCAAAGTCAGAGAGCGGTATTTTTCTGATAGGCAGAAGGCTAAACAAAACAAAGCAAAACTGGGAAGGCTGTCCCCCCCCCCCCTTTTTGGTCCATTGGCTGCCCTTCAAATAACTGCTGCCGGAACCTATGTCTAGTAAAGCTTGAGAGAATGGAACAAATGCTGCCTCATTGCCTACACAATGCATGAAGTGCAATTAATGTTGGGGTAGCCCCAACAAGGTATTATTGTTGAATACATGCTCATCAGTTGCTGGCTCATGCATCTCATATCAATAGTGCCGGAAGACATTTAAGAATGCAAAAAAGCATCACTGGAGTATGAATTACTGGCAGTTAAGTTAAAGAATGCCCTGGCAATGTTTCAGAACCACTGTTATGCATGTTGCTTAATTTAATCCCCAAAATATTTTAAAATTAGGGTACCATTTCATCTGTCATCATTTGTAGATTTATTTTTTTCAGTCCATCTCTTGGTTTTCCAGTTTGCCCTAAAAAAAGCAGTAACTAATTAACTAAATAAATGAGATCAATAACCAAGGCCATGCCAAATTTTAGATTTGATGAACGTGAAGCATTTGGCTATTATGTTCTTCTTTTCTTCTTTCCTAGCGTGAGGACATTCAGGACATGTTGACAGCCAATATTAATAAGCTTAAGACTAATACTGGCGGGGGCCAGATACAATTCTGGCAGAGTTAAGTGCTCTTTACAATAATCATGCTGTCCTTTAAAAGGATTGCTTTCATATTTGTATCATGCATTTACTGAGATTTCCTTTTACTGTCTGTTGTTTTGCAGGTGATTCATATAACAGGAAGGTTACGCCTGAGAGTCTCGCTGTCCCATGGGCGGACAGTCCCTAGCCAAATCATGGGGCTTGTAGTTGTTGCTCATGCTTTGCCCCCTCCTACGATCAATGAAGTCAGAATCGACTGCCACATGTTTGTTACGCGAGTAAACATGGACCTCAATATCATATACTGTGAAAATAGGTACAGCATTTTGGCTTTTTGTTTTTTTCAGTATTGCACATTTTAAATATCCTATCACAATAAAAGTATTGAAGGACATTGGTTTATCGTGATGATAATTAGTCCTGTTATATGTAGTATTTCTTATTCAGTTGTCTGTTGTTACACAGAGAAAGGATGAAGCTCATTCTGAGATTTGGAAAACTACACCGGAGACTGCCTAGGGGAAAACTCACAATCTGAATAACTGCTTTTCTGACTGCAAAACTACAGTAGTAACCTCTGGATCAGTAGTTCCCACAATGGAATTCTGGAACTCTTGAATGTATACCACAAGATTCTAATACAAACTGCCTTCTCTATAGCAATATCTGCACCACACTCAAATATTCACATAGACATACATCTTTTACAAAGGACACACCTGGAGCAATGAATTATCTTACTCTGAGGGTCTATCAGTCATGCATGTGTGTCTCATAACTTTTTTCTCAGGGATTTTCCAACATTAGGTAGTTCTCAGATGGCTTTGTTTCAGTGTGGTAAAGTTTGTGGTGCAAGGTGACAAAGGCTGTTAATTCTAGACATTTTTGGCACTGGCCATACAGTGTCAGAGACTTTTCAAATCCAAATAAGTTGTCTTTAATCAGCTGCAGTTAGATGACAGCTCCCCCCCCCCCGAGAAATGTATTAAGTAATTCTACTTGCAGTGGGGCTTAAGAGATTGGAGTGCATATGGTATCGTTTGGAAAAGCTGTACTTTCTATTAATTGACTAGACTTAAAAGCAACAAACCTAAAAGTCAGCTGTCCTAGCTGTGCTCAATATTATTGTGGAAAACAGTATTATTGCAGTTGGAGAACAGAAATTTAGCCAAGACACTGTGAGTTAGGTGATAGTCTGCTATGCCAATAGTACAGGAATAGCAATTGGTGGGAGTCACAAGCAACAAAAATGTAAAAACATTAATTTCTTGTTTGGCTAGCTGGTGTGGGCTCATTTATGTGTTATTGAATAACTCGTGTTATTGAATAACTCCTTGCTGCTGCATAACAATCTTACCCATATGGTGCAATCCATGGATTTTGTCCCTGGTGAAATCTGTGCTCTCCAAAGGGTATCTGTGACTTGGAGATCTCACCATGGGTGAAGTATGCTTCATATTTACTGATTCCTAGTAATTAATAAGACAGATAATATAAACTTGTTCAGATATATCTGAACAAATCACAGAGCAGTATAATGGTTACTATGCCTATCATAGCTAACGGAAAATGGAACTGGGAAATCAATTTGCTGCATCCAGACAGACCAGCAATGAATTAGCAGTACTCATTGTAATTAATGAAAACACATGCTCAGGAACTACACACATGATGAAAGGCTGCACAGTATTATGCATGCTTCAGAGGTGATATCTTAAAACTTTCTAGACTACAGCATTAATCTTTCTAATAAATTAGCAATCCAAGGGTATTACTAATTCTGCCTCATATTTCCTATTAGCAAACTGCTGATCACTTTGACAGGTGAGGTAAAGAAAGGTCCCAAGTTTTCGGGTGACCCTGTGGCACACCTTCCCTTAGGCCAGGGCAACTGGGAACCTCAAGGCAGCAGGTTTGAAGACTCTCTTACTGGTGATTTCAAGCCACTCACGCCCTCCCAGAGAACCTGAAGCGATTCACTGTCAAGGCTGCTGTAGTCCCTTTGTCTACATAGTCATGCCTTGGTTGCCATATCTCAGTCATGCTACAGGAGGACAATACAGTGTGACAAATAAATGACAATTGACTGTCAAATATAAAGTAAGAATGTTTCCTTAGTTCTTAAAGAGTGTCTCCTCTTCAGGTCTGTATTTCAGTTAATTTACAAAGCAGCCTCCTGTTATATTGAGTGCTGATACTTTCAGGGTTTGGGGTTTTTTTTAGTACCTTTTGCTGTCTGGCTCCTTGACTCTGCTGTAGCCTGAAAGTGATAAAGATCTTGATGCTTTATAGAATGCATTATAATAATTCATGCCTCTACTATTATCTCATACAATATAGAGAAATTAGTATAACTTTTATATATAGAATAATTAAGGGGTAGAGGAAAAAACTGTTCAGTTCGTTTCAGCTACAAAAAATCCCCAAGGATCCATTTTTTTCAGCACTTGACTGCAGCAAGATGATAGGCAGCTGGGATTGATCTGCCTTTAGTAGCCATTTATGGCAAAGTTGTGGTCAGTTTCTATCCACGAAGTCATAAATAAGTCGTGTCACCAGCCAGTGGAGCAGGTGAGCGAATTTTCACTCTGGTGTGCCTTAAGCTCTCTGCCACAAGGCTCTTTGTTATTTAGTCTGCTGCAGATAAACACACCTATGCTCGGGCGGATCCAGGACAGAGAGACATCCTACCTGCAATTATGCCCATGCTACATTTTTAGCAGGCCATCAGGAAACAACATTGTTATGGTCTCTGTGAAAACAAGAGAATGTTTTCCAAGTTCTCCTCCACTTCTGCCATGCAACACCTCCAAGTTGGTCCCTATTCAAAAAACATCCATTGTAATCTAGCAAATATAAACTCTCCACAGCCTACTGGAAACAAACTCCCTTGAAAAAACCTCCATTAAAACTACTTCATTAGGGAGATTTCTTGTCAAAACCTGAGAATCTGAGAGGTATTTCTGTAATTTGCTCTCTTAAAAATTTGCTCTCTTAAAAAAATGCATGTAGTTCTTACTGTACCTAAGTGGGAGTAGCCCTTTACCAGTAATTCCTGCACTCTAATATATGCACCTTGTTTGAAATATGATAGCTCTTCTGTAAGAAGTGTTCCCTCTAAGCTGTGTGTGTGAGCAGTCACTCATTAACACAGGAAGCCCCGCTCAGCAGCAATCTGGAGCCACACAGGGTCTTGCACTGCCCATTTTCAGATTACAGCAGTTATATTCTGCTCAGGATGTGAACTGCTCCTCTCAGTAAGGAAAAAAAAATTAGAGGGAACATTGTAAGACCTCTCTGCTTTGGAAAAGACCTTACAAAGTGCTCCCTTTTGAACCCTAATGGCTACCAGTTTGTACTTCGGAAGAAACAAATATAATTCTATATAAAGCATGGAAATAGATGCTGTCTTCTAAACAAAAATAAAAATGCTTGTGCAGACTGGGCTGGTTCATCCAATGTGTTTTTCAGTTCGGGGGACTTTTTTTTTTTTACACAACTGATGCCCGAGGACATTGACATCTGGACAATCAATGACAGAAACATCTCCTTACATAGAGAGACTGAGCAGAGCATACAGCAGGAAGAGCTGCTGAAAGGATTTAGAAGTTTCTGTGTCGAGGAAACCACAAAGTCCCAGTTGAAAGGGCCAGGAGTGAAAGCTGAGCTCCCAGCAGAGTAAGACTAAAAAAGATAACACCCCCAGGCATCTGTATGTCTCCGCATTTAAATGATATCGCTTGAAATGCCCGTTTGGACTTTGTGCCAGGAAACTGTTGAAGAGGCTTTTTCATGAATATACCCAATAGAAGACCAATCTGTTGAAATGAAAGGTGTCTCTAATCATTTAGCATAAGCATAGCATGTTCTCATTTTACTATGTAACCTTGAATTATCTTGCTCTTTTAATGAGGAGCTTTGTCTTTTAAGGAATTATATTCTCTTAGCGACTGTTGTATGAGTGGTGCAGGCTTGCTGCAAACTGGCTTCTGCATTTATTTGAATGGGCAGATTTCAGCAGCTTTCCTTGTGAAAAACACAATCTCCGTTTGCTATGATGCCTTGTGTTTACACACTAGTGTTCTGTAGCAGCAAGATTTATTGACTAGGCAAATGAATTTCCCCCCTACATGTCTGTTTTAATACCGAGGCAGAATTATGCATTATGTGTAGCTCTGGAGTTTTCCCAATTTCTTTCTACAGCAAGCACCATGAAGGTTATGATTCAAAGGAAACTGTAGATGGGGGGGGGGGAAATTTAGTTCCTTCTCGTTGCACTGTTTGCCCACCAAAGATCACCAGCACCAAGCTGTTTGTACCCCCACTGGAGAAATTTAGAGGTTTTATTTTTTTTTTCTTTTCTCCCAGTGCTGAAAAAGCAGCTTGGGATAGTACTTTTCAGTAAGGAAAGAATTAAATAGCTGATCTCCCCATATTCTGGTCTCCTTGTGGCTGCATTTCACTAAAGAAAAATAGCAAAAAAAACCCAATCACAGAGCTACATGTAATGTGTAGCTGCACCCTTATGAGTTTGTGTATCTGCAAAATAAGTGGATGGGACAGTGAGTGCTGATTATTTACACTACCACAGCAAGATAATGCAGAACTGGATGTACAAAAATGGCTTTACAGGCAGATACATTTTTGGGATTAGGACAGAATTCATTTGACTGCTCCTGTATTTTTTCCCCTTCTGGTTTATAGGTTCTATTTTTTTGCTTTATAGGATTAGTGATTATATGGATCTGACTCCTGTAGACATCGTAGGGAAGAGATGTTACCACTTCATTCATGCTGAAGATGTGGAGGGGATCAGGCACAGTCACTTAGATCGTAAGTATCCTGGGTCTTGTCAAAATCATCTGGCCCTCCAACTGCTCTTGCACTGTAGATTCCTTTTTGGTTTCTTCTGTGACTGATTCAGGTGTAACATGCATACTTTCTTCAGTCACTTAAGATTGTCAGTGAGTGTTTGGATCTCAGTCTAGTGAATTTGAATCACACTGAATTTGCATTTGTGGTTGCACAGCAGGTAATTTGAGACATCTGCATGAAAGTTGAACTCAAAAGCATGCCAATCTTGTGAAACGAAAGGTATCGCTTGAGGAGTGTATTGGGAAACCAAGGACCCTCCAAAAGGCCTATGTTACTTCCTGCCTATTTCACTTACTGCATCACTTTCAGCTCACAAGATGTGATGCCACTTTCTGTCCGTCTTTGTAATCCTGCCTCTCTATTTGTGGTGGCTGAGTAAGGGGGTTCTGGGTTGACCGCTCTGGTGGTCAGGAGAGTGCAGGGTCCAAATTAACTTTCTTGTTGAGCAAAGCTGTGAGCAAAGTGGCTATTTCCTCTTCTTCGCGAAGAAGAGACCATTTTGCAAGGAAGAGCCTGGTCTACCCTCTGGATATGCCCTGTGGCTGGATCCAGGCTAAATTTTCTAGTAGCAGAATAGAACTTCCTTTCCTCCCCCCTCCTGCTGCAACCAACTTATCTCACATGATGCAGTTGCAGGAAAACAGGGGATACTGGAGGAATGAGCGGAGGTGGGGGCTGCAGTGGGAAGGGAAACCCCTGGTCATTTCAAGCACTTGTGGCTAGTCATTCAGTATAAACATAGCATGTTCTTCTTTTACAGTTTAAATGTAAATTATCTTCTTCCTTTAATGATTAGTAGGCCTAAAACCACTATTGCCAGTGAGGGGGATTGAGATGGTCTCTAACAAAACCCTTTTTTAAAAGGCTCTGAAAGAGCTTAAGATATGAATATTGTCCACCCTGAGTCAACTAGTAGTCTATCCCGTCCCTCACTTTGTTTCCAGCAGTTGCCAAATACAGAGCTGTTATGACTCTCACAAGCAGTGCATGATGCGCTCATTCCCAGTGCCTCTGAACTTGAAGGCTTGGTTCTTGCTAGGGCTGTAAGTATTTAATCAGTAGATTGTCAGGTCTTGAAGGAACTCACTCCCAACAACACTCTCTTGGCAGTGATTTGTTTATTGAGAGGTTAAAAGGTCTCAAAGCATAGACGAATCTGTGTCAGAACTGACTCCCTTGGTGCCAGTTCCCATATTATACATAATTTAAACAACCCCCCCAGTGACCAGTCCAATCACATCCAGACATCCAGCCTGCCAAATCTACTGTGCTTCGTTAACCCTCCCGCAGCACCTGCAAGCATATGGTTACATTATCTACCAGTGTCTGGTACTCAAGGCCAAGCATGCATTCTTCCCACTATAGGGAGGCCCTCCATGAACGCAGTTACAAGCCAGTGCAATTCTCAGCAAAGCCGTCTCACGCACGCCCCCATACACTCCCCTCCAATTCCCAGCTAAAATTAAACCAGACAGTGAACTACAGAAACCAAAGGCAGACATTTAACAAATACATGGCAATGAGGCCTGAGTTTGACATATATTAAGCAACTAAATCTTTAGCTGATTAACAGTTTTCATTGTTATGGCAAATTCAAAATGGCAGCACTCATTAAAACTGTATTTGTTCATTGTAGAAGGCTATTTTGTTTCAGGGGTGTTTCTCATAGGGAATAAAAAGGAAAATGTTACAGATGAACTTCCTTAAGAACATAAGAGAAGCCAATGTTGGATCGGGCCAATGGCCCATCCAGTCCAACACTATGTCACACAGTGGCCAAAAATACCAGGGGCCATCAGGAGGTCCAGCAGTGGGGCCAGGACACTAGAAGCCCTCCACTGTTGCCCCTCACACACCAAGAATACAGAGCATCACTTGCCCCAGAGTCTATACCTTGTGGCTAATAGCCACCAATGGACCTCTGCTCCATATCTATATATCTAATTCTCAAGTCGTCCCCTGGTGTGCGGATACTTAAATCCGCACATCGGGGGGACCTGGGGGGGAGGGAGAGGTTTGTGCGCACGTGGGGCGGTCCCCACGTGTGCACAAAAATCCTAAACCTGGAAAATAACATCAGGGGGATGTTTAAATCCCCCCGAAACTCACAGAGCGTCCCCTGCGCATGCGCAGGGAACGCTCTGCGACCGCTGCCGCCGCCACTTGGAAGGTGAGCGGGCGGCACGCAGCGAAGGCCGAGCGGCATGCCGCTCGGCGCTCACTTTGGGGCCGGGGGGGGAACCAGCAGCAAGGGCCGAGCGCCGTGCCACTCGGCCCTCGCTTCGGAGCCGGAGGGGGGGAGAACGAGCAGTGGGGGCCGAGCGGCACGCCACTCGGCACACGCTTCGGGGCCACGGGGAAACGGCGAGGAGCCGGGGGGGAGGCAAGGGGGAGGAAAGGCATGGGGGTGGAGGAGACGGGGAACCAGCGGGATGGGGGGGTACTTACCTCCTGCTGCTTCCTCTGCCTCCCCCCCGCAAGTATCGCGGGCCCCGCCCCTTGTGCTTATCTAATTCTCTCTTGAAGCCGTCCATGCTTGTAGCCGCCACCACCTCCTGTGGCAGTGAATTCAATGTGTTAATCACTCTTTGGGTGAAGAAGTACTTCCTTTTATCTGTTCTAACCTGACCGCTCAGCAATTTCATTGAGCACCCACGAGTTCTTGCATTGTGAGAAAGGGAGAAAAGTTCTTCTTTCTCTACCTGCTCTATCCCATGCATAATCTTATAAACCTTGATCATGTCGCCCCTCAGTCGTCGTTTCTCCAAGCTAAAGAGCCCCAAGTGCTTTAACCTTTCTTCATAGGGAAAGTGTTCCAACCCTTTTATCATTCTAGTTGCCTTCTAACAATAAGTTATAGCTTTTGTTTATTGACCTGTATGTTAACTCACACTTAAATATACCAATAAGATATAAATTAACCCACTAAGAAAAACACTTGAATTGTTTGACAGACCTAATTCTTTGCTGTTTGGAGGTGCTGATAGACCTATCCTTATGAATTTATCCACTAGTGACTGTCAGACCATTCTGTGTTAATGAATTCCAAAAGTTAATCATGTGTCTCATGAATTGCTGTGTCATGTATTATTGTCCTTTGCTGTGTCATGTATTATTGACAATCAACTTTATTTGTACTGCTGAATCAGAGGAAGAATTTGATTCATTATCTCTACACCACTGATAATTTAATAAATTAAATAAAGAAACTTGTGGGGTGGCTATCCCATTCCTTTGCTTCCTCCCCTCTCCCCCTACCTCTCTCACACTCTTTTTTCTCTTTTACCACCCCTTTTCTTATTCTCTCTCTTTTCTCCATGCATGTCATGTTCCCTCTTTCTGCCCCATCACTCTTTTTGCTTTTCTGCCTCCCCATATTTTTCTTTCTGTCCCCCATCCCATCACTCTTTCTCTCTTTCTTCCCCTCACTCTCTCTTTCTATCTCCATCACTCTCCCAGCCACCTGCCTGCTTCCCCCCCCCCAGCAGCAGTGGTGGCAGCAACTCCCCAGGAATCACAATAGATCTCCCAGCTACAGAGATCAGTTTCCTTTAGGTTTGCCAGCTCTAGGATGGGAAATTCCTGGAGATTTCGGGTGTGAAGCCTTGGAATGGTGAGGGTTGAGGGGGGAACAACCTTGTTGTTGTTGTTCAGTTGCACAGTCTAGTCTGACTCTTTGCGACACCATGGACCACATCATGTCAAGCCCTCCTGTCTTCCGTCGTGCTCCGGAGCGGGCTTAACTTCATGTTTGTTGCATCGATAACACTGTCTAACCATCTCATCCTTTGCCGTCCACTTCTTCTGTTACCGTCAGTCTTCTGTTACCAGCATCAGGGTCTTCTCCAGTGAGTACTCCCTTCACATACTTTCAGCCTGTCAGGGTGGCCAAAGTATTTGAGCTTCAGCTTCAATATTTGGCCTTCCAGGGAACAGTCAGGGTTGGTTTCGTTTAGGATTGACTGATTTGATCTCCTTGCAGTCCAAGGGACTCTCAAGAGCAGGGGTCATTTGGGGCCGGAGCGTGCCAGAGCACTGCTCTCGCAGTCCAGGAGGGCACAAGCCACGCCCCCAGCTCCCCGCCTCCTAGCTCCTTCTCTCTAGAGTCGCGCCACAGGGGCAGCGCGATCTTCGCATTATATTCTATGGCCCCATAGAATATAATGGGAAGATCGTGCCGCCACTTTGGTGCGACTCCAGAGAGACTCTTCGCTTCCCCCCCACCCCACCTTGGCAGGTCAGCTGGGGAAGCAAAAAAAGGGGGGGAGGCATCTTCAAAAGCCTCCCCTTCCTTTCCCCAGCCAGCCTGCCAAGGCAGAGGGGGGAAGCGAAGAGAGAAGGGATTTAAACTTTAATCCCATTCTCTCTTCGCTCCCCCCTCCAGCCCACCTGGGGAAGGGAAGGGTTTTGAAGATGCCTCCCCCCCTTTTTGCATCCCCTTCTGACATCACTTCCGGTGATGTCAGGGGGTGTAACATATGCTAATAGGCTATTATGCTAATAGCCTATTAGATATGCTAATGAGCTCCTGCAGCTCTTTTTTGTACGAAATGACCCCTGCTCAAGAGTCTTCTCCAGCACCATAATTCAAACAACTTTAGCATGGTATAATGCCATAGACCGTCCAAAGCTGCCATTTTCTCAGGGTGGACTGATCTCTCATCTGAACAGCAGTTGTAATTCCAGGTGCCCTCCAGCCCTCACCTGGAGGTAGTTCTCATGGAGGAAACAGCTGGTTTGGAGGGTGGATCTATGGCATTATACATGTCTGATTTCCCTCCCCTCCTCAAAACCCACTCTCCCCAGGCTCCACCCTTCAAATGTCCAGAAATTTCGCAACCTGGAGTTGTCAACCCTATCTCTTTCCCACCCAGTAGCCAACCTATATCTGCCCCTCTCTCTTCAGCTTTCCATCTCCAGCCCCCTCCCCTGCAGCCCCTACCTAGAGAATCTACAGT